TGGCCTTGGACAGCCGACTTAGCATCTATGGGTCTCAGTTTCCTGGGCTGTAAAATAGGTATAAGTACAGGATCGTAGGAACAGTATCCTAGGAAGACCTGGGTGGTCCAAACTGTTACCGTGTACAGCTGCTACCTGAAAGGTTGAGGGTTCTAGTCCACCCGGGGACACTGTCACTCTACAGGAATAGAAAGCTTCGTCTTTCTCCTACAAAGCAGCTAGTGGTTTTGAACTGTGGACCTTGCAGTTAGCAGCCCAATGCATAACCACTTGTCCACCAGGGCTCTAGCAGGACTAGTGAAAAAGGCCTGCCTGGAGCATTCTGCTCTTTCAAGAGCTACTTACAGGGGACCCAGTTAGCAACAGAAACCGGGAAGACTGGAGGAGGCTGTGCCTTGATATTCATAAGGGAGGAACTGCTCAGAAAGGGAGGGTGGGAATGGTGGACCCATTTGAAGAATTGAAGAATGTAATCCATGTTCCTGAACTGTGCACGTACATAGAGACTGTTGAATCCATGCACATTTTCTGTGTGTGTATATGCTCAACAAGAAGGTAGAATAAACGTGATATTAAAAAGGAAACCCTATGAAACACAGTCCTGCTTGGACACACAGTGGGTTGCCCTGAGTTGGCATCAACTCAGAGTGAGTAGCACAAGAGCACTGGACCGGACCCAGCACAAAGATGTGAGTGGTGCCAGCCTGGAGGTGGCAGTTATCCGACTGTGATGTGGCAGGAAGTTCAGGCGTGCAGACGGCCAGGTGACATTCCCTCTCACCCCCTAACATCGTGGTTCTCACTGGGGACAATCTGACCCTCCAGGGTCTGCAGGCTAGTTTGGTTGTCATAGCAAGGGAGGGCTACTGCTGGCATCTATCTGGTGGGAAGAGCCCAGGGCTGGGACTCAGCAACCCACACTACACCAGACAGCCCCCCAACCAGAGTTATGTCCCTGCGGGACCCAGAGACCTGCCCTAGCATGAGTACTCAAAGCTCCTTAGGCCTCCCCGCCTCTGTAGCACTTGCCTTAGTTGTAATTTATTGGTGTGGTGATTTGATTACTGCTTGTGTGCCTGGCATCATGAATTCTGTGTGTGTGTGTGTGTGTGTGTGTGTGTGTTTTCACCATGCAGGCCCTGCACCTAGCTTAAGCTCAAGGTCTTGGACTTGGACTCTATTCCATGAAGTTTATCAGGTGCCTTCCTCCCCAAACACCCAGGTGTGCTTTCCCTTTGACTGTCCCCTGGTCTGTCCATCTCTCTCCTCTCCACTCCCGCTGACGATAGATTCCAAGTTGCTAAGAGTGAAAGGGTTATTTCTAGTTCTAGCCTGTCCAGGCCAGTGCTGTCTGTTTGGCCCACCCCAGATCTAGGTCACAGGCAGCACTCTGCCCGGGTCTGTCAGGCCCAGGTTCAAGCCCCAGGCCTGCCACTTCTAGGCAGTTTGACCTCAGACCAGTGGGACCACCTCTCAGAACCTCCATTTTTCCTTCTGGAATGGGGCGGTAAATATCTGGTCAATGGAGACTCATGCTTTGCTCCAGAAGCCAAGGTCAAGACACAACCTGAGTTCAGGTTGCAGCTCTGTTGCTTACAGTGTGGTCTTAGCTCAGCGTCCTCACTCATGGAATGGGTCTAACACTCCTTCTCATCCACACAGTTCATAATGGGAATTGAATGAGCTGAAGTTGAAAAT